CCCTTCGTGCCAGGCAGTGGAATAGGGAAGGGATGAATCCTGGAATGGTTTGGGAGAAGGGACCTGAGAGATCATCCAGTTCCAACCCCTTTCCATGGGCAGGGATATCCTTCACTATTCCCACGTTGCTCCAACCTGGCTTTGGACGCTTCCAAGGATGGGGCAGCCACAGCTTCGCTGGGAATTCCATTCCAGATCCTCACCACCCTCCCAGCCAGGAATTTCTTCCCAATATTCCATCTAAAGCTCCCATGTTTCAGTTTGAAGCCATTCCCTGTGTCCTGTCCCTCCATCCCTCATCCCAAGTCCCTCTCCAGCTCTCCCGCAGCCCCTTTAGGCCCTGGAAGGGGCTCTCAAGTCTCCCTGGATCCTTCTCTTCCCAGGCTGGACATTCCCAGCTCTCCCAGCCTGGCTCCAGAGGTTCTCCAGCATCTCCGTGGTCTCCTCTGGACTTGCTCCAGCAACTCCACATCCCTTTTATACTTGGGAATCCCGAGCTGGACCACGATCCATGACCCCACCGAACACAAATTCCCTTCCCACAACCTCAATCCCGCAAGTTTTTCCCGGGAAAAACACTTCCAGTCTCTCCCACTCCCAAAAACGCTCCGGTATTTCCTTACAGCAGCAACAGGTATTTCCCTCAGCAGCAACAATGTTCCCTAACATGGAGTTTTATCCTTAAAAAAAACAAAAAAAAAGGGATTTTTCCGGAAAAGATGCCTTGGGAATAGGAGAACTCTCAGCACCTCCTTTATTCCCAGATCCAGTGCTCTCGGAGGGATTTGGGCAGTGGGAGCTGTCAGCTGGAATTATTAATTATCCCTCTTTTTAATCCCCAAGTTTTGGAGTCAGCCCAGCACAGGAGAAGTGGCCAAGCCACCCACATTATCCCATGGGATGGAGAGCAAAACAAAAGCTGGGAAAAGCCACTCCATGCACAAGAACAGGTTGGAAAATCCTCCTTTTTTCGAGGATTATCCATAATTCCTGCTGGAGGAATCCATAGGGGCTGGTAGGAGATGAGCAGCAGGTCCCAAAAAGATGGAAAATTCTATTTATGCATCAAATTCCCCCTCTCATGGAATTAATCTCAGGAAACAGCCCCTGCTCCAAGCTGGTAAAATAAAACCTCTCAAAGCTTTTATTGAGAATATGGTTACATCACACAGCCCTTTCACAAAAGGATTAAGGAATTAAATTTCCCAACCAGTTGGCTCGAGAATTCAACAGGAGGAAGGAAAAATAAAACTGGGGGGAGGGGGGATGGGAATAAAAAAAAAATAAGGGGGGGCGGGGAGGGTTTAAACAGCAAAAAACCGCCGTAAAAATCGGATTTTAGGAGGGTGAAAACACTGGGGAGGTTGGGAGGGAGCCTAAAAGGCAGGGCAAGGGGCCAGCAGGAAACAGGTGGATTAAATCTTCCCTCCCAGGACATAAAAAGCAGGAAAAAAAAATATATAAAAATATCAAAATCCCTTTTTCAGCAGTTTTTCCCATAAGGGACAAAACAAGGGATGGCTCCATCCAGAGCTCAGCTGGAAAAGGGGGGATTGAGGGGGTTGTTAAATAAGAATAATAAATATTTATTAATTAATAGGGAGGCTAAGGAGGTGTTTTGGTGGTTTAATTACAGTTGTAATCTTGTTTTGACAGGTGGTGCTGATCCAACTCCAAAGGTTTGGAATCTTTTCCGTGTTATTCTTTGGGCTCCGGATACAAACAAGGGGGAAAAATCCCTCGTGTAAGGAAAAGAGAAAAAATATGGGAATAAAAAGCCCGTAAGGTTCTGCTGCTGGAAACAGAAGAAATTTGGGAAAAAAGCTTTATTTATTCCTGCTAATGGAAACAGAATAAATTTGGGAAAAATCCCACAACTGCTAATGGAAGCAGAATAAATTGGGAAAAAAACCCACAACTGTTAATGGGAATAAAATTGGGATAAAAATCCCACAAGCTCCTGCTAATGGGAACAGAATAAAGTTGGGAAAAAACCTTTATTTATTCCTGCTAACGGGAACAGAATAAATTTGGGAAAAATCCCACAACTTCTAATGGAAACAGAACAAAT